TCTTTGATATTCTTTTTTTTTTTTTTTAATTTTGTTAACGTTTATTTATTTTTGAGGCAGAGAGACAGAGCATGAACAGGGGAGGGGCCGAGAGACAGGGAGACACAGAATCTGAAGCAGGCTCCAGGCTCTGAGCTGTCAGCACAGAGCCCGACGCGGGGCGCAAACTCACGGACCACGAGATCATGACCTGAGCCGAAGTCGGCCGCTTAACCGACTGAGCCACCCAGGCGCCCCGTCTCTTAGATATTCTTATGAGACATTGAGTAGAACAGTTGGTTAAAAGAGTTGAGGGCTCAGTGGAGAGGTCTGAAGGGTCAAATGTGAGATATTCTGGATAAAGATGATATTTGAAGTTTTGGCTGGGAGAAAATACTCTAGCTAAAGTGCAAAAAAAGATAAGTGGTTTGAAGATTAAGCCTTGGGTTTTGGAAGGACAGGAGGATTCAGCAAACGAGTTTAAGAATGGCCACTGATGTAGGAAGACCAACAGCATGGGCATTCTCCCACTAAAACTTTGGTGGGAGGTGACCCCAGATTTCATTAAGCATCTTGGGCAAAATTCAGACCTCTTTCTCCTTGACCCAGAGTGGAATGACGCCAAATGCCATCTCTCTAAATCAACGTTACATGAAATGTTACATTAACACAGCAGCAGGCTATGTTAATACTTACCTTTGTATTAAAGATGAGAACATTGAAGCTTAGAGATGTTAAATCAGTAGCTGTAAGTCACACAGCCAGCAAACAATGAAGCCAACTCAGAACTTCTGACTCCAAAACCCTACCTCCATCCCTCTGCACCAGGTGCCCTGCCAGCTTGGACAGAGCCAGGAACTTTTCATGCTAAGAACACAGTGCTTTGTGCTGACAAGTTCTGTCTCTCCAGTAATTCTCTTTCTCTCATAGTCAACAACATATCAATGGAATCTTTAGGGGGAAAGACTATTTTTTGAGATACCCTGATAGTACAGGCAGAGAGAAAACACTGGAGTAAAAAGCTAAAATGAAACTTTCTCATCTTAGTCTGTTTGGTCACATCTCTGGGTCTGGATCAACCAGTCATGTGGGAAAAATCTAGGATCTAAAGTGATTTCATTCAGGTGGGACTTGGAAGGATATATTTCTGAACACCCCCACCAGGAATTTTGCTCTGTGGTGTTGACAGACCCCAAAATTCATTTAGTTCTTTATCAACAAAAAATATCAATTACTTGGGATCCCAGGGACTTTCCTGAAATTCACAACCACAGGTCTCCTATTTTCCAAGTCAGTCTGAATTCTAGGTAATTTTCAACAAAGTTGAGTCATTAGCATATGAAAATATGGGAAAATTTCTGCATTTGCCTGAGACTTATCATGTAATTACACTGATATTTCAGTTTGCATGACCAATGTCAGCCTGACATCAATATCAATAAAGCATTTAAAATGTAACTGAAACAATATATTAAGGAAAAATTAAGAATAAGATGGCTAAAATGTATGGTTTAGAAGAATTTAAGTAAAGATGACATTTTTACCTAATGTAATTCAAGTAAAAGTATTTCCCTGTCACCATTTTGAACTGTAAAAGTACAGTGTTTTAGAACTGGAAAGAATCCTAGAGATAATTTTATTGAATCCTCTCATTTTATTTTTTTTTTTGAGTTTTTATTTAAATCCCAGTTACTTAACATACAATGTAATATTAGTTTCAGGTGTACAAAAAATATAGTAATTCAACATTTCCATACAACACTCAGTGCTCATCACAACAAGTACAGTCTACAGGTAGCCTGTTTCACTATAGAGAAATTCCACAAAGTTCATTTTTATATTAAAGAATTTACAAATATCCAATACAAAGAATATGCAATTGGGCTCCCAGGGGCTTTCCTGAATTTCACATCCACAGGTCTCAGATGGTCCTTGTCAGCCTCAAATCTGCATAATTACCAACAAAGTAGAATATAACAATATGGAGGAATTTTTCTACTTCTGTAAGATTTTTTAAACCACCCTGTTGTTTCCACCCACTGATGCTGCATCTGAACAAGTCTGATGCCTCATCTTTAAGAAAACCCTGCAAGAGTCTGAAGGCCCATCTGAGTCTTCTTTCTTTTTATGTTCCTTCTAAGGCTTCTCAATATGTTGGCCACACACCTCTGTATATACTCCATTTGTTAATGTCATTCTTGCACCTTGTGGCTCCAGACTAACAACCATCCAAATGCTATCATCTATGAGATAGAGAGCTTAGCAGTTGTATCATGTTGTCAGCATCTTATGGTTGATATGTTCTTATGAAAACTTCCAAGCCAAGTCTCCCTTCACAATATAGATATTTGGATCTATTATTTTTCTATTTGGGTTTGTAATACTTTCTTTATATCTATTCTTCATTGAGTTTGATATTGATGGTTCATGTCCAGTATTCAGATCTAGCCAGATAATTTTCAATCTCAATTCTATAATCTTTAATATTGGTTCTTTCTCAGTTTCACACCATGCATTTTTGTGCACTTTCTCCCCCAAGTTTAAGATGATTTTTTGCCCATTTAAATTTTAAAGGTATCTATTAATGCTAGCCTGGTTTGGTATCCTACTGCCGATCCGACGCTCTCAGACCTTCAGCAAAAACTATTGATAGGTCATAGACCTCTTTTCCATTGAGCTTAGCTGCACCTTTAGACTTGTTTTACATAGAGTACTGCAGATTGGTAGTTATTGTCCACCAATCAGACTTAGCTCTCCAGGTAAAACCTTCTCTCCATGTACTCCAGAAAGCTTCCCTTGCAGGTGCATACAGAATTGAAGATCAATGCTTTAGAAATAGTGTCTCAACCTGTTTGATGTTCACCTTAGCAATCATCAAACTACATACCATTATTTTAGCCAAATAATATTCTCGAATAATTGAGCATAGGTTTTGTTGAAATATAGACATACCATGAAAGCTGTGAGCAAGAAGAATAGATAATTAGGCTTTAGATCTAGATGAAAGTTTCACAAATGTTTTATTTCTGTTGTTAGTGTTCTGTGTGGAAGGGAGGGTGTCAGAAAAGAAAGTTATACTGAGGGTAGTTTATGTAATCTTGAAAGGCAAGAAAGATTTCTAAAAGGACATTATAACTGAGTTAAAATGTGAGGGACACACAGGAATTAAATAGGCAAAGAGGAGCAAGACAGATGACAGAGTAGCCTGTCTTTCTGGCAGAGGCATTGAGAAAAGCTCTGAGATAGAAAGGAGCAGAGCTCTTCTGGGGAGCTGAAGGGCCAGGAAAGTTGGAGGAGAGAAACCCAAAGGCAGAGATAAGCAGTGGCAGTGGTGGTGATTGGCAACAGTGGTGATGTGCACTGGTTGTGGTAAAATGTAGTGGTAATGAGCAGTATGAAGAGGGGGACAGGGTGGACATGTGGTGGTGGGGTTGTATGGTGTGCTGTATGATGGCCAGGTTGTGTGGTGGTGGGGTTGTGTGGTGTGACCTGTGATGTGGGGACATGTGATGGGGATATGTAGTGGTGGGGTTGTATGGTGGCGGGGTTGTATGGTTATGGTGATGTTTGGTGATGGTAACATATGGATGGTAGTGATGTGTGGTGTGGATATGGTTTTAAATTCATAATATGAATAACCTTTCATATTATACTTGTCTGGGGAAATGTTTGAATGTCACTGTCTTTTCTCCCCATGCATAAGCATGGTTAATACTTTGAAGGCAGTTTGCCTAATAGTAATGAAAACAGACTTTGGAGCCAGAGTGCCTCGTTTCAAATCTTAGCTCAGTTATATACTAGCTGTTGGGTCTTGGCCAGATGTACTAACCCTTACACTTGCCTTTATTGTCTCACCTTTAAAATGGGGCAAGAATAATTTCAGTTATCTCATGGAGTTCGTGTTAAATTAAATTGTTTCAGGCAAAACAGAATGGTGCCTGGCAAATAGTAAGTGCTCAACAGTTTAGATTTTATATTTGCTTTTCTCATTAGTCAAATGACATTTGAAAAACACCAAATGATATCAAAACAATCCTATCACATAGGAAATGCCAAAATTTTTATTCCTTTCTAGGTTCAGTTGGAATCCTTAGAATTAAAAGTACGTGAAAAATGGTGCCACTAATCACAGTAAGAAATGCAGGAGAGCAATCAGTTAGGAAGGGAAGGGCTAATCAGTTTCCCTTTGCCTGTAGAATTTCTGGTGTCCATGTCATCGAGGTATAGAAGCCATGAAAATATGAGTCTAGAGCTGAGGAGAAGGATTTTATGTTCTATGCCAAGATACCACACCAATGCCCTATTTTTCAGAGGATGCTGAGGCCTTGCAATAGCAAGATTCAGGTCCAAGGTCTGTGATTGTGTCTCCCTCCTCACAAGCCCTCAGAGGGAGACCCTTCCAAAAATCAACGCTAAAATGAAGGAAGCAGCCATTGCTTCCCATAAGCACATTATTATAATTGCAATGCCTTTGGTAGGCATAAGAGACATAATTTTTGTTTGATGAATCTCCCATCTGATGTTAACTTGGCTAAGCCATTGCTAACTGTGTCTTGGGGAGGCAAGAAGAAGGGGCCACTGTACTCATATTTCTTCCAAACCAACCAATCTTGACTGTTGGGCCCTATATCTCTTGTCCCTCTTCCTTCTTTCTGCTTTTAGGGACATGTGGCCAAAGAACAAGTACCAAACCTGAGAAGTCAGAAATTTTGGAAATCACAGGTGGGGTATCTGCAGACATAATAGATTTTCCATGGCAGGTGAGGATTCTTTACCAAGGGAGACATCTTTGTGGAGGATCAATCCTCAACGAGTGGTGGATTTTAACCGCAGCCCATTGCTTCATAAACAGAAATAAGTAAGTATTGCCAAGATTTTTTTTAACCAATGTGGCAGAATACTTGTCCTTACATGCTCATTATTCTCCTGGAACCTCCATCCAGGCTTGTCAGTTACAGAACAAAATACCAGGAGGCTAAATATATGCCTGTGTGGTTGAATATCACACTTTTCAGGTGGGATAGACACTGATTTCCTCCTAGGATATTCTACACCTTATTGTGTGAGACTCAAATGGCAGAACAGATGTTCCTTGGACTTCCCAGCATCTTGTCAAGTGCACGTTGTCCTGATCCAAAACTCTGGAAAGTACTTTCCTAAGCATTTTATGCCACTTGGGGAGAAAGTAGGCTAACAATAACCACAGAGTCAGAGAATCCTAGAAAGGATTGGTCCCCAAGGGCAGGGCACCAGGCCTGTTTGCATGACAGAAGCTCCTGAGATGCTGCCTTACCTTAAGTCTATACACCAATATGTTTGAGAAATTTCCCAGATGTTTGTTAATAGCTAGTTTACCCCTTGCAAATAAAGATCAAGTCCCTCAATTACTTGTGCATAGTATGACTTCCAGATATTTGTTAATAAAATCTACAAGTGAAGTTGCCCAAGAAGCCATCAAGTCAAAAGCTGGTTGGCAACAGTGCAAGAATGGAGCTCAAGTCAGTCTTCTTTTGCCTGGTCAGGGCCCAAGTACATGGCCCCAGCTGCCTCCACCCTTCCAGCTCTCAGGATCACAGCCTTGCATTGGTGGAATTATTTTCTTTTAAGGCTCACCTTTTTTTGCCCTTCCATAACTTACCTTTTTTTCTCCTTCTTTTGTTTTGAGATAAAATCTGGTTTGGAGATTATACATGGTGAAAGAAACATTGATACCAAGAACTTGACAAGGATGAAAGTGGACAAGTCAATTATTCACCCTTATTTTGACAGCTGGTTCTTGGATAATGACATTGCTTTGCTCTTACTCAAATCTCCATTTAAATTGGGTGTCAAGGAAGTACCCATCTGCCTGTCAGAGGTTAATGACATACAGAAATGGAGAAACTGCTGGGTGACTGGATGGGGCATTACCAGTGAGTTACTATAGCCCAACCCAATGGGAGGTGGCACTCTGGTTGATGTAGGCAATGAGAAAGAAAACTCTGGAGGCTCTTATAGCTCTGGGAAGTCTGTCTGGTGGATTTGGAAACTTCAGTTTCTCATTTAAGAACCCATGATGAACCTTCTCCTCAGTCAACATGTGAATCATCTTTCCTTGGCCTTCCTGGGCTCCTATACCAAGTTTTATATCCATATTATAGAACACAAACCCTAAACAGGGCCTCAGTAATAACCCAGGGAGAAGTGTTCAGAATCCAAGGATGACTTGGGAGAATTTTGAGGAACATATTAATGGGCAAAGGGGTGGCAAAATTGACTAGGCTGCAAGAAGTGCACACTAATGTCAGCAGAGCAACTCTGTTCCGGTTGATGGTGTCAGTTCTGCTCCTCTGTGAAAAGTGCTTGCTGGCCCAAATATTTGAAAACCACAGATCCAGGCCAAGAAGAAGGGGATAAACTGAATATAAATTTGTTCTTATAGAGTTAATCTGTAACCTACTCCGACCACTTTGCCCTGCCAAACCATAAAATGGTGCCTTTTTGTCATTATTCTTGGTAAATGTGTCCAAAATCAAAAGAACAGAAGAAAAATCTTAGCGCCATTCTTCTAGGTAGGCACACAGATGGCAGTACACTGATTCCCACATGGTCCCAAAGCTTGGAGCTGTTTTAGAATTCCTCATTGGGAATTACCCTTGGAAGCTTTCCATGAAATTCAAAACAGGCCACCTTCTTAGAGTTCATGCTTTATTCAGCACATATTCATTGAACCTCTTCTATGACCCAGGCAGTGTTCTAGGCTCTGGGAATTCAGTAATATACAAAAAGGGAAATGTCCTCATCTTCAGGGTGTGAACATTCTAGGTGTTAGGTTCATCTCTTCCATGTTAAAGACCCTGACATGATTCAAATCCATCTTTATGATCCATAGACCCCTGGACAGAATTTGTCATAATGGGTCCTCTTTACGTGCCTATGGATTTAAATGAAATACCTTTTTAGGACTGTACCTGGAGTTGGCACTTTCTGCAGAAGAGTGCACTCAGGCTGAGATCCAATAAAGACCCAGCTGTGAGGAGCTCTAGATTCAGAGAAGATAGGCTTGAGAGTCTCCTGAATGCCTCTCAATTCTCTCCTCACTAATTCCATATCTGGGTAGTTCTCTGGGTCACACAGTAGCTCCTTTGCTATTGAGCTGAAAATACATGATGCTGGGTGGCTGTTTGACCTCAACCCAAAGGGACCACTTTGAGCTCAGGGTCCTTTCCCCATCTGCTTCTTCTTTGTGTCAGTTCCTATGCAAGATATGACTTCACGGCTGCAAAAAGTCAACATCAAGCTGGTCAAATGGGAAACATGCTCCCATAAGGTGCCTATACTCACCAGGAACATGCTGTGTGCTGGGAGCCCTCAAGGTGGGAAGGACACCTGCCAGGTAATGGAGCTTGTCCCTTGTTTGGAGAAGGGTTCCTACAGAGGGCTGGCCAATATTTTCAGGATAATTGGCTCCCCTCTTCCTCTTCTGGATGAGTTTCCTAAAGCTACCATAACAAATTACCACAAACAGGGTGGATTCAAACAATAGAAATATACTGTCTCACAGTTTTGGAAGCTGGAGTTCCAAAATCAAGGCATTGGTAGAGTCATGTTCCCCCTGGAGGCTCTAGGGAAGGATATTTCTTTGCCTTTTCTTGCTTCTGGTAGTTTCCAGCAATCAGGGGCATTCCTTAGCTTGCAGGTGCATCATTCCAGTTACTACCCCCATCTTCACATGGACTTCTCCCTTGTATGTGTATCTCTTGTTTTCTTATAAGGATTTCAGTTGTCGGATTAGGACCCACCATAATCCAGTAGAACTTCATCTTAATTTAACTAATTACATTTGCAAAAGCCCTATTTCCAAATAAGCTCACATTCTGAGGTTCCATATGGACATAAATTTGGGAGGGATGCTATTCAGCCCTGTACAGATGCTCTGTAACCAAAGGGAGACTCTGTGGGATAGTGATTAGGGGTGGAGGGTCCCCTAGTTCCCCCCTCTCAGCTCCTAACTTATTGCTTGTGACTTCCCTCTGTGCCTGTGCTTTTTCAAATTTATTCATCTGCAAAATGGAATATTAAGAGTTTCTACCTTTTAGGACTAGTGTGAAACTTAAGTGAGTCAATGCACAAAAGCACTTAAAATGATGCAGAGCAGAGGATGGTCATACTAAATGTTATAAATATAATTTTCTTCATCACCATCTCTTTAAATTTTTTTTAATCTTTATTTTTGAGAGAGAGAGAGAGAGACACAGTGTGAGTGGGGGAGGAGCATAGCAAGAGGGAGACACAAAATCCAAAGCAGGGTCCAGGCTCCAAGCTGTCAGCACAGAGCCCGATGAGGGGCTCGAACCCATGAACCGTGAGATCATGACCTGAGCCGAAGTCATGACCTGAGCCAAAGTTGGACACTTAACCTACTGAACTACCCAGGCACCCCTCTCCATCACCATCTCTTATGCATGTTCAGTGCTTAATAGCACATTAACCGTTTCCACAAATACACGAAAGGGTTGCAAACTAGCCCTAGGAGGCAGGCCTATTTCAGATGGGGAAACTGAGGACCAGGGAAGCTGACAGCCTTGCAGAGGACACAGGAACAAGTTAAATGTCAGACTCAGAATTCTAATGAAGGCACACTATCTTCTGAGATTGAAGCCATCTTTTGGGTTCCAGTGGAAACAGGACACCAAATCTAGCAGCTCAGCCTGGTCATGCACAGATTTGGCTGGTTCAATGGCCACAGAAATGCAGGGAGCTACCATTGAGTACAGGGTTGCCGTATATCATGGTGCACAGGGCTTCACAGCTGTCATTTCCTTCCATACATACAGCTGTATTGTAGGAAAGATAGCTATTATCACAAGCATAAAAGCTGAGCCTTAAAATGCTGAAGAAAATTTTCACATTCCCTCAGCTAAATCTTCTCCCTGGAGTTTCAACCAAGATCTGTTTGGCTCCAGAAATCTACGATCTTAACTGTATTGCTGTTCTGCCTGACATCTTTCACATAGATCCCCTCATATCCACAGAAGGGATTATAATTCTTTATTTTAGCGATAGGTCATGGGACTTAGCAATGACTTCAAGGAATTTGGTAAAGAACAGTTTGGTTCAAAGTAAGTTGATGGGCACAGCAATTTGTTCATGATAACAATCTGGTTTAAAAAATCAAATAAACCCATATCATTTTTTGTTTTGTTTTGGATTTGGACTTTTGGCATATTGTTGAATGGTGCTTCTTTTCAACATTTGGGATGTCACTTAACATTTTCAAAAATAAATCTTTGTAAGCTGTGAAACAATATGTACCACCCAAACCTACTTCTGTAAAACAATAATGATGTATTCATATTTGCATATTCAAGGATGTGGAAAATTATATTTGACTAAGGGGTTGCCTCTGTATGGCTGGAATGAGAAATGTTTATTTAACTCATTTGGAATTGTACAAATTGGAAGTACAGTGAAGAGGAAGTTTACATCTAAACTTGTTCTCCTGTTCACTCTCCAGAGAAACCATTTTTACAGTGTTGCCTTCTTTCCTGAAATATTATTTTTTATATGTTTCAATGTTAATTTATTTGTTAGAGAAAGAGAGAGAGAGGGAGGGAGAGTGCAAGTGGGAAGGGACAGAGAGAGAGGGAGACACAGAATCCAAAGTAGGAGCTAGACTCTGAGCTGTCAGCACAGAGCCTGACACAGGGCTTGAACTCATGAACCATGAAACATGATCTGAGCCAAAGTTGGATGTTTAACTGACTCAGCCACCCAGGCACCTCCTGAAATATTCTTTTTATACACAATCATACGTGTGTGTTTATATATAAATTTATTTATTTGTATAATTATGACTATTCTTCATGTTCTTTTTCCATACCTGAGATTTCTAATTTTTTAGATGAAGATACATAATTTTCAGTAGAATTTAATAAGTCACAGAGATGGAAAGTATAGCATAGGGAATATGGTGAATAGTGCTGCAATAACGTTAAATGGTGACAGAGGGTAACTACACTTATCACGGCATTGTGTAACACATATAATCATCGAATCACTATGGTGTGCACCTGAAACTAATATGACATTGTATGTCAACTATATTTAAACAATAAAAGATTAAATTTAAAAAATGGGCCCAAATATTTGAAGGCATTGAAAGATTATGTATTCTTCAAGTTTCATGTCAATGTCTGTTCCCCTTACTTGTGCTTATTTGGCAATCTTTTTCGTGACATTTTAAAATTTGTAAATTGTTTAAAATGTAATGCTTTGAACCACATTTTATATCATATGTGTTTTATATATATCAGTTTGCTTGCCTGCTGTCTTCAACCAATGATCTATTATGAGGCATAATAGACTTTTATGTTTGTTTTTTACTTTTTGCTATTATGAACAATACAGAAAGACCAAAATGGGTTGTCTGAAAATAGATGTAAAGTAAAAAGGTATGGGGGAAATTGGAAGAATTCTGAAAAACAACAAAAGTGCTTATGCTTAGAGGCAAAATGGATTAGAAAACCAGTTCTTGGTACATCAAAATGAACCCATATGACTAGATGATAATGATGATGATGGATACTGATTTTTGTAAATCAAATTATCATTCATTACCATTGCTTTTGACCAAATTGTTTGCAACTTTGACAGTCATGCAGCTGGGAAGCATAGTCATGTGGCTGGATAGCATAAACTGTTCCCTTGTCAAAAGACCATAAGTGCTTTTTGCCTTATGCCAGTTGCCCACACCTCAATAGGCTATAGAAGTTATTCGCTACTGTCCCTTCCACTCCCAAACAACTTTTCTCTCATAGGGAGACAGTGGGAGTCCTCTGGTTTGCCAGAAAAACAACCACCAAAGCATATGGTACCAACTAGGCATTGTCAGCTGGGGAGTGGGCTGTGGCCAGAAGAAACTGCCTGGAGTGTACACGAAGGTGTCTAATTATCTGTCATGGATTGACACAGAGACCGCGACGTCAGGAAAGCCCTATGTGCATGAGCCAGACTCCGGGTACAGTTTGCTTCTCTCACCTTGGGCCATCTTGTTACTGTATATTGTGATACTTCTATTACCCTGTGATTAAACACTGTATTGCCTCAAAACCAAGTGTCCTCAGGGCACTTGGGTGGCTCAGTTTCTTAAACGTCTGACTCTTGATTTTGGCTCAGGTCATGATCTCACATTTTGTGAGTTTGAGCCCTGCATTGGGCTCTGTGCTGGTAGCATCGAACCTGCTTGGGATTCTCTGTCTTCCCTCTCTCTGCCTCTACCCCACTCATGCTCTCTCTCTCTCTTTCCAAATAAATACATAACCTTAAAATAAAAAAAATTAAAAAAACAGGTGTCCTCAGTTTGTGGAGTAAGGTCAAGGGTGGGGTCCAGAGGGCTCTCATACTATTAGTTGTTCCTGAAATAGTCTTATACTATAGGAGTGCTTACAGTGTACCTGGGATCTACTATATGGCCTATTATTCCCCTGGAACTTGGAGGCAGTTTACCAATTTCAGCTTGAGGTCTCTTCAGAAGTTTGGATGCAGCACCTTGCATGGAAAGGGGCATGCCAAGGGTCTCTGAAACATAACTTCTATTCTTCTCTCTCTTACAAACAGGTATCCTTCCACAGATTCTTTCATTTTCCAAAAGGAGTAGACAGCTCCCCATTTTTTTTTTCTCTAGAAATAAGGAACATTCCAACTCTTTTCTCTCCTTTCATTTGTAGCTAATCCCTGAGATCTACAGATTTGGTCTTCAGAAAGATCCTGTCACCTCCATAGCTACCACCTGGTCCAGAGCCTCAGTAAATACTGCTTTGAGCTCTCAGAGATCATGTGCAACCATGCTACGATTGAGGATCAGGAAATCATTGAAGTAGAAATGTCCTAAAGAGAGGTGGTAAAGATACACATAGCTAAATGAGTTGTAGTAGTCAAGACACTTTTGAATGCAAACATTAGAAACTCAACCTGAAGCAAAAAAAAAGGGGGGGGGGAATGATAAATATACTGGGGTAGCACAGAACCAAAGGAATTACCATTCTAGTAAACAGTTGTCTGAAAGTTTGACTTAGTCCAAGATGACATTTTGTACCATCTGGAAGAGTGGGCGGACCATCCTTCTTGCAATCAGTCATGAGCATAATTTTTCCAACCAAGCAAGACATAATAAGTAGCATTCTTTTCTAAGGCAACTCAGCACATTTTTGAAGAGAAAGGGAAAAATATACTCAAAAAGATGGGTGTTTTTATATGAGTTTGCCTTAAGTAGAATTCTTTGAGCTATGAATAACAACAAAATAAAACAAAAAGGAGAAATATTTTCTGCATATGCATTCTGAAAGGGAAGAAAAGAAAGTATGAAAAAAGTTTCTCTCTGCTGACTTTCATTGGCTGCATGAGAACAGGACAGGTTGGCCACCATCTGAATCTAGAGAGAGGGGGGTGAAGAAGCATTTCAGTGGATGAGGGCAGAGAGAATCGATATACAGCTGTTTTGCCAAAACTGCAGTGTTACCCCAAACTTTTGGCTGTTGGTAAGCAGGGAAATACGACTACAAGTAGATGGGTTACTGCTCCTGAGAAAGGTAGCTTTACAAATAATTTCCTCTTTTTCGTGAAAGAAGTAACAGCAATTTGGCCTTCAAGTTCAGAAGGTAGAGGCTAGGAGAGACTGAGAGGTCACAGTGTTGTGCCCTCAGCTCAGGGCAGCGGCTGACAGAGAAGTTGAAACAGCCTGGCCTCTCAGCCAGGATCCTATGAAAGGGAGTGTGTGCGGGAAGGGGACTGCTTAGCCTCCATTGCAAAGCAGGTTGTCAAACTTTCCAATTTTTGCCAATTCCGTAAGGAAGAAATAAGAGTTCAAACTAGTAATTTTTTTCTTCAAACTGAGGTATAATTTACATAGAGAGACATGCCCTGACCTTAACTTTATAGTTTGATGAGTTTTTAATAATAGCCATGTAATCCACACCCCTATAAAGGTATAGAGCATTTCCACCACCGTAGAAAGACCACTCCAAGCCCTTCCCCTACCAATCCCAACTTACTCCCACCCTCTTTCCCTTCCACCAGGATCAAACACCATTCTGGTTTCTTTCAGTTCTTTCAGTGTGTATTAGTTTTTCCTGTCATAGAACTTTTTAAAAAATGGAACACCATGTTATATACTTTTTTGTGCCTGTTTTCCTTACTTTAACATATTTTTGAGGTTCATTTATGTTGTTGCATGTATCTGTAGCTCTCGCCTTATTACTGTAGAGTAGTATTCCGTACCGCAATTTATTTATGCATTCCATTTTGATGGACACATGAGTTGCTTATAATTAGGGGCTATTATAAAGAAAATACTACTACAAAGGGTCTTGTAACAAATATTTCTGTGTATATGTTTTCATTTCTGTTGGGTAAACAAGATGTAAAATTTCTGGGTCATAGAATAGGTGTATATTTAACTTTATGAGAAATTACCAGGTAAATATCACAGTTATTTTATACTGTCCACCATGCAATCCAAGTAACAGATGAGAATTCTAGTGGCTCCACATCTTTGCCAACATTTGGTATTATCAGTCTTTTTAATTTCTCTGTTCTGTGGGTGTGAAGTGGTATCTCATTTCCCCCTAATGGGGTTGAAAATGTTTTCATATGCTTACTAACCATTTGTATAACTCTTTTTGCGAAATGCCTATTAAAGTATTTTTCCCATTTTTAATTTGGATTGTTTGTCTTTTTATTATTGAGTTATTGGAGTTGCTTTTATACTGACTATGTGCCCTTTTTAGAGATACATAATTTTATTTATTATTTATTTAGATTTATTTATTTAGCTTTAATGTTTAGGTCTGTGATCCATCTTGAAATAATTTCCATGTGTGATGTGATATGGATCAAGATTAATTTCTTCCATATATATAGCCAATTAAGTTGAAAAGCTCTTCCTTCCCCCCAATTGAACAGCTTTAGTGTCTTGGTCTAAATCAGCTGACCATAAAATGTAAGTGTGGGTCCATTTATGAACTTTTTCTGTTTTGTGTTTTGCTCTCCTGAGTAGTAGAAGGATTAGATGTCTAATTTGGATTTTATTTGATATCTGATCTTGATAGCTTTATTACCATTGAAAATGGGATACAGGTAGTCTGTAGCATGTTCTAAGTTAATTATCACCTATAGTACCTTAGAATGAAGTAACTATTGAAAGCAAGCTTTTGGCAGATCAAATGGTTGTTGCAATTGACCATTATAATAGAATGAGAAACACAAGGACTATGGGGTAGGCTGTGAGGTGGGAGGGGCGGAGAGGGAGGCTAACTGCTTAGAATAAAGCTTAAAGAAATTAGTAAACTCAGGGTTTTAGGTTTTTGGCTTAAGCCATGGTCAAACAACCAGAGAGTATCTATGTCTGCTATTCAAAAAGTATCTTCCCTCTTGTAACTGCAGAGCCAATGTAGTCAAAATTTAGACCCCCAATCTAATGGTACATAATACATAATGTACCATTGGTTGCATATATACAGTATAAATTGAATTTATAGCCTCTATAGGTCTCTCATATAAAAGGTAGGACTGGGGAAAGAGGGGAAACCTGAAAATTTGAAATGGGGAATATTTGGGTGTTTCTACATTCATCTATTTTTATTTTATTTAAAAATTTTTTAAATGTTTATTTATTTTTGAGAGGAAGAGACAGCATGAGTGAGAGAGGGGCAGAGGGAGAGGGAGACACAGAATCCAAAGCAGGCTCTAGGCTCTGAGATGTCAGCACAGAGCCTGACGTGGGGCTCGAACTCATTAAGGTGAGATCATAACCTGAGCCGAAGTTGGATGCTTAACTGACTGAGCCACCCAGGTGCCCCTACATGCATCTATTTTTAAATGGAGGTATTAGCATCATTATTCACATATGGAAGTCAACAGAAAGACTGTCACTGAAAAGATAGTTTGTTACAGTTTGGAAGAAGAGGGGGGATTACATAGGATCACATGGGGAAACAACAAGACTGGTGAAGATGCAGAAGGAACAAAGGGAGAATGTGGGCAACAGACTTTATTGTCGCTTTTGCCCGAAGGACTGAGAGAAGCAGGCTAAGTGAGATAAGCAGGTTTGGGATTGGCTAATTTGGATGATTTCAACAAGCTCTGGGGTGTAGGGATTGCCTTTAATTTCCTGATGCCTGGCTCTGACGTGATTGGGACAGAAAGATTATGGTTCAGTGTGTGAGTGTTCAATAAAAAGGCATGATTAATACAGTATCTGAGTACTTTGACCTCGCGTACCCCACTGAGTCTCACTTGCCAGCAGAAAAACCCTTTCCAGATTGAAAGAACTATAAGGACCTCACATGAGGCAGTTTCCTTACAAGGAATGCTAATTTGCCTCAAGGCTCAACCCACCAACACTCACAAACTCCAGGTTTCTTTTTTTTTTAATGTTTATTTTTTGAGAGAGAGAGAGAGCACAAGTGGGGGAGTTTAGAGAGAGGGGAACAGAGGATCCAAAGCAGGCTCTGCGCTGACAGCAGCAAGCCCAATGTGGGAATCAAACTCAAGAACCGAGATCATGACCTGAGCCGAAGTCGGACACTCAACTAACTGAGCTACTCAGGTGTCTCTGAACTCCAAGTTTCTAAATACAGTTTAGTTTCATAGTATCCCACAAGAAATAGTACAAACATTGGATCTGGGGGGACATTAAATAACAAAAGGGTGGCAGAATTTTGCTAACGTATCAGAATAAACCTGCAAAATACTGTTGAAATAAAATCTAAGGGTGCTAGAACAGGAAGGAACGGATGAAGCACGAGATTGGACCAAATTTTTCAATATTGTTAACTCACCACAAATTCTGGATTCAATAAACTAGTCTTAGCTGGAAGTGGCTGTAATAGCTTGGTTGGTTCATTAAAACCTGTATTTAAAAGGGCCTGCATTAAATAAAGCAGTCATGTCAGTCATTGTTTTTATTTCTTTTATTATAGATTTGAAATTTTTTTCAGTTCCATTTTTTTCCTTTTCATTACTTTGGGTATACTGATTGTTCATATGCAAGATGTAAATTTTCCATTCCTTGAGAGGGTTCATCCTGTCTTCTCAATGAATTCATCTGCATCTACATGCTTACCTTGTATTTGCCCTCACTTTCATTCATAAGATACTAGTTTTTTGTTTTGCTGATTTTAGTTTGGTTTTAATTTCATCAATT